TGCTGCCTCTCAGTGCCAGGAACCTGACAACTACGCAAACTTCATACAGACAGTCTTCCCATATCTGTGTGGGTTTCCACCGGGTGCTCCTGTTTCTTCTTGCAGTCCAAAGGTGTCCAGGTTAGGTGGATTGACCATGTTAAATTGCCCCATAATGTCCAAGGATGCTTGGACTAGGTGGATTAGCCATGGTTAATGTGGGGTTACAAGGATACCATAGTGAGTGGGTCTGGTTAGGATGCTCTTCAGAGGGTCGGTACAAACTCGATGGGCCAAATGGCCTCTATCTGCATTGTAGGGATTCTATGATCCTAGTCCAAGCAGGGAAATGGGGCCATATTAGACCTTGTATTGAGGATACAGCTTGGCCAAGTGATCAAAGTGGGAGGGCATTTTGAGAACAATGATCATAATCATGTTAAGTTTTAAGATTGTAATGCATAAGGATAAGTCTGGTCCTCAGGTAAAAGTGCTAAATTGGGTAAGGCTAGTCACAACAGTATTACACAGGAACTCGGGTAATTAGATTGGGGTGGCTGTTTGAGGCTAAATCTACATCAAACATGTAGGAGTCTTTTAAAGGCCAATTGATCAGAGTTTAGGACCAGCATATTCCAGTGAGGATGAAAATGAGGATGGCAAGAGATGTAGAAAGTTTAGTTGAAAAGAAAAAGCAGGCGTATGTAAGGTTCAGGGAACTGAAATCAGACGAGAACCTTGAGGAATATAAAGGCAGCAGTAAAGAACTAAAACAAGGAATTAGAAGGGCTAAAAGGGCCGACAAAATGTCCGTGGTGAGTAGGATTAAGGAGAATCACAAGGTGTTTTATACATAAATTAGGAGAAAAGGGTAGCTAGGGAAAGGGTAGGTCTACTCAAGGAGTATGTATGGAGCCAGAGGAAGTGGGTGAGATCCTTAATGAGTATTCTGCATCAGTATTCACCAAGGAGAAGGACATGGATGACGGTAAGATTAGGTAGGGGACTGTTGATATTCTAGAGCATGTCAATATTAAGGAGGTAGCAGCAGTGGATGTGTTAAAAGATACAATGGAAGATAAGGTCCACGGCCCAATGGGATCCATGGTGAGTTGTTAAGTTGGATACAAAATTGGCTTGGTCATAAGGGACAGGGGTAGTTGTGGAGTGGTGTTTTTCTGACTGAAGGTCTGTGACCAGTGGTGTTCCACAAGGATCATGTTAAGACCTCTGTTGTTCGTAATATACAAAATGACTTGACAAAAATATAGGTGGTCAGATTACTAAGATGGAAGATGACTAAAATTGTTGGAGTGGTGGATAGCGAGGAAGGTTGCTAAAGGGTACAGCAGGATATAGATCAAAGTTGGGTGCAGAAATGGCAGATAGAGTTTAAATGTGAGGTAATGAATTTTGGGAAGTCAAATGCAAAAGGAAAGCATATAGTAAATGGCAGGACCCTTAGGAGCACTGATATACAGAGGGATCTAATGATGCAAGTCCATAGCTCCCTGAAAGTGGCAACACAAGTGGATAAGGTGTTAAAGGCAGCATACGGCATTCTTGCCTTCATCCGTCGAGATAGTGAGTGTAAATGCCATATTGCAACTGTATAAAACTTGGAATATTGTATGCAGTTCCAGTCACTACACTATTGGAAAGATGTGGAGGCTTTGGAGAGGGTGTAAATGAGGTTTACCAAGATGTTGTCTCGATTGAAGTTATTGGCTGTAAGGAGAGGTTGGACAAACTTAGAATGTTTTCACTAGAACACTGGAAGCAGAGGGTGAGCTGGTAAATGTATATAAAATTATGAGAGGCATGAATAGGCTAGATAGTCAGGGTCTTTTTCCCAGGGTGGAAATGTCAAATACTAAAGGGGTGGAGGTTTAAGGTGAAGGTGGTAGTGGTGGTGGTTGGGGCGGGGGGGTGGAATTTAAACGAGATGTGCAAGGCAGACAAAGTTTATTTACACAGAGTGTGGTAGAAGCCTGGAAGCGCTGCTGGGGAAGGTTGCAGAAGCAGATACAATAGCAACTTTTAAGAGGCATTTAGACAGACACATGAACCGGCAGTGAAGAGAGGGTTACGGATCAAGAACAAGCAAGCTGGATTAGTTTAGAATGGCACCATGGTTAGCACATACATTGTGGGCCAAAGCACTTGTTCCTGTGCTGTTCTGTTCTATGTTCGAAATATTTCAAAATTGTCATACATAAAACTTTGTTTCTTTTTGTAATGTGTAAAAGATTGTATAGTAGCATCAAGGGATATTGCCAGACTTTTGAGAATATGTTCAGTGACTAATCATCATGGTAACCAACTGTAAAAATTCAACTTATGATCTATCAAGCCAGATTTCACTCTGGGATCTGACTTGTCCAGTATTACCAACAGTCAGTTGACTGCATGGCTGGTCTGTGATTCACAATGTGCCAATTAACAGGCAGATTCAATTCTCAGACCTGGTTGTGGTCACCACGAAAGTCCCACCTTTTCAGCACTGACCCTCAGGTTAAATGATCACCAGTCATCTCCCTCTTATGAGATGGGACTACAGTGACTTTACCTTTACAACAGCTAGGATCATAACACATCAAACAGTACTTGCGAGACGTATACTGAGCTTTCAGACATCATTAGAATATGGAGATATGACTTTGATTTGCACTGAGTCAACTTAAACATGATAGGTTGGGAATATCTGTCAGAGTCCCTACAGTGTGGAAACAGGCCATTCGGCCCAACAGGTCCACACCGCCCCTCCAAAGAGCATCCCACCCAGACCCATTCCCCTACCGCTGCATTTCCCCATGTCTAACGCACCTAACCTAAACATCCCTGAACACTATGGGCAATTTAGCATGGCCAATCCACCTACCCTGCACATCTTTGGACTGTGGGAGGAAACCGAGCACCTGGAAGAAACGCACGCAGACACAGGGAGAATGTGCAAACTCCACAGTCGCCCAAGGGTGGAAGTGAACCTGGGTCCCTGGCGTTGTGAGGCAGCAGTGCTAACCACTCACGAAAAGATATTTTCTAAAATGAAGTATTATTATACTTGCCCAAATTTTAATTGTTTTGTTGATTCAGTGCGAGAATAGGAAAGATGACAAAGAAAACAACGATGTAGTAACTCAGAAAGGAAGACTACAATCCAACAGTTAGTTATTAACAATGACCCAAGACTGTCCATAGGTATGTTGGCTGTAATCTTTTTTAATCCATGCCTAAAGTTCTAAATTAGCAATGAAAGAATTTGAGATGATTTAAAAAGGTTTGATACACTCAGTCCTCATTATCTGTGAGGGGCAGATACACTGACTGCGCATGGATAACAAAAACCAGATACCATTATGGTCCACTCCTCTGTACTTCGCAATGTTTTCTGAAGACGACTGTGTGGGGTAACCGGATGAGACAATGGGATGTTGATGCTCACACCTAGGTGTGGGAGATACACATGTAGAAATATACTAGTGCGTCAAGGATTACATCTGGAAGCATTCCCGCTCTTTTGGAGGCATTTTAAATGTTTTTGTGTGGCTCAAAGCCTCTGGAAAATGTTTGAGATGGGGTCTAGGCCAACATTGTGAGTATACGGAGTTGCTACCCTTCGATCAGCGGCTAACGAGGACGGAGTGTACTTATTGTTTGATTGTTCACTTTAAAAATCATGTCAATATCCAATAAACTTTCCTGCAGTCACTGCCAGTGTTACAAGGTGTCCCAAGTGAAATGTGATAAATATGGCTATGGTAATTTTGTTGAAACAAAAATGTGATAGAAGTAAAATAGACAGGAACCATCTTACAGTTTTATAAAATAAATCGTACAGATTTAGATAGCTGGATGGTTTGTCTGATTGACCGATCAACATGTCATCAGTTACAAATAACTAAGATCCTAATCTGGAATTACCTTATACTGTAATTTAATGGGTTTATTTTACAATGTTGTAGATGCCAGGTTTTGATTGCAAATTTAAATCAGGTGAATACTGAAGATTCTATGATATTACGCAACAAAGAATGAGACGTGGTCTCAATAGTCTAGCCAACAGTCCTTTTCTAACTGTCACCATAACCAAGAAACAAACTGATCATTTATTTCAGACAAGGTGTAGAGCTGGACGAACACAGCAAGCCAAGCAGCAGAGGAGAAGGAAAGTGGACATTTCGGGTCTAGACCCTTCTTCAGAAAGTGATTTTCTGAAGAAGGGTCTAGACCCGAAACGTCAGCTTTCCTGCTCCTCTGATGCTGCTTGGCCTGCTGTGTTCATCCAGCTCTACACCTTGTTGTCTCAGATTCTCCAGCACCTGCAGTTCCTACTATCTCTGATCATTAATTTAATCTGTTATCTCTTGTGAAAACTGGATGCTTTATTTGCTTATTGAACAGCTTTTTGAAAATGCTTTACTGATTGTGGTGTGCTTTGGAATTTATGAAGGTATGTGAAGGTGCTGTGTCAGTTACATATTTTCCGTACCATAGTCCCAGAGGAGAAAAGGACTGCTTTCTCAGAGGGAGAGCATGAGCAAGAGCGAGGGGGAGCGAGGGAGCAAGCGGGCAAGCGAGCGAGGGAGAAAACACTGGTGGTGGTTTCAACTAAGGGTGACCATGCCTCAGACAATACAATAGGTTGACAAGGAGGGTTGTCACAGTTACCTCAGCTGGTACAGGAATTGAACTGATGTTGATGTGTCACTCCATGCAAACCAACTGACTAAGCTAACTAAAAGTCACATTTGGAACAGTTTAAGAGTAACACATATTCCAAGAAGATTTTTCATGGCATTTTTACTAACATTTCGGATAATCACCTCTGTCTTCAATGGACCTGTGGAGAACAATATCACTATTGATTTTCTGGCATCTTCACATACAAAAAAACTGCATGCTCCCCATTATAAAGTCAAAATTATGGACTACAGTTCCATATAACAATATTTTTAGAATATTACAGATTTAAAAAGACTCTGTTAACCTCATACTTTTAAAAAAAAGTGATTGATTACCATTATTCTGATTTGCCAGAACATGTTGCATTTTTGCTTGGTCCTTGACAGATGAATGAAGTGATCCAATGGATTTCTTCTGTGAGCTTTCTGTGGTAGACTAAAATAATAACATTCATCTTGATAACATTTACCTTGATATCATTTTGCATTGCATAAAATTTAGAAGAATTCATTTTCATTGGATCAACTTCCAAGCTTCATGGTAACATATTCCCTGAATGCTGTGCAATGGTAAGTAACAAGTGCATATAATTACAGTGTCTCATAACCTGTGAAGCTCTTTTACCAAGTTGGTGCCTTCCCGCAAAGAAGGCAAAATCGAAGGGCCAAGGCCATACTTTTATAGATCCTGACACAGAGATGACTCTGGCAGAGGTTAGTAGTAGAGTTTTAACCCATTCCCTTGACTGATGGTATCACATTCTGATTGTCCCAAAACTCTGAAGTCAATCCAATCCAATCTAATCCAATGCAATAAAAAACATTTCCCAATATTTTCAAACTGTTTAATTAAAAATGTAAACAATCAAAAACCCCACAACGACAAATCTCAAAATAGCTCTCTCTCCAATCATCAATAACTAATAAGCTAACAAAATGCAATTTACAATTGAGTTTAACATCCGACCATCCTCTTAGTCAAACCTCAAGCAAGGAGGCAAACCAGCCATTTTAGCTTAGGCTCAAGATTGAAGCCAACAGCTTTTAATCATGCCACTTTATTCAATTCACAGACAAGACGTTGGTCCTTCCTGTCTCCTTACATAGTAGGCTAGGTTTCTTCTCCTCATGTTCAAATATGTGTAGCAAATCCCCTACAATCCAATTCGATTCAATTAATAACCTTCAGCCTATCTCTTGTCACCACTACAGGTGCAACACCTCTCAACTAAGTCTCCAACAACGCTGTCCATGGACTTGCGGCATTTTCCAAGAACCAAGTTGTTATTTTAAGAGCTACAATATATTTTATTTTTAAACACAGTGTACTTGTTAGAAGCGATACCTTCCTTCCTGTCCCAGACCAATGCTATAGCACTGAAGCTCTCCTGAGTCACTGCCAGCAAATCCCACCAATGTCCCACCTCACATTTCCTGCAGGTTACGTGAGTCGCAAACAAGATTGTTGCCATCTCTATAATATCGTGGCGTCAATCAAAACAAATCAAAGTCATGACCTTTCCCCTTGGACATTTACAAATTTTTGCTTTGAAAATAGTGCTACTTAGTTCTCGTTTTAGTTCTAATAGAGGGATTGAGTTCAAGTGCTGTGAAGTTATGCTCCAGCTATACAAAACCCTGGTTCGGCCACATCTGGAATATTGTGTCCAGTTCTGGTCGCCTCATTACAGGAAAGATGTGAAAGCGTTGGAAAAGATGTAGAGGAGCTTTACCAGGATGTTGCCAGAAATGGAGGGAAAGTCTTATGAGGAATGGTTGAGAGCGCTAGGGCTTTTCTCTTTAGAACGACGAAGGATGAGAGGGGACTTGATAGAGGTGTACAAAATGATCAGAGGTATAGATAGAGTGGACAACCAGAGACTTTTTCCTACGGTGGAGGTAGCTATTTACGAGGGGACAGAGTTTTAAAGTCAGTGGAGGTAGATACAGGGGAAACATCAGAGGTAGGTACTTTACTCAGAGTGGTAGGGGCGTGGAATGCATTGCCGGAGAGGGTAGTGGAGTCGGCCTCATTAGGGGCATTTAAGTGGCTATTAGATGGGCATATGGATGATAGTATAAGGTAGGGGTGGAGGTTAGATAGACCTTAGGTTTAGGGTAAAAGTTCAGCACAACATCGTGGACCGAAGGGCCTGTACTGTGCTGTCCTGTTCTATGTTCTATTTTGCTGCATCATCTCTGTAGTCTGACTTTGGTCAATCACTCCCTAAACCCAGTAAAATCTTTACTAACCCATATCCTATTTTTTTCCCCATTGTTAAAAGATTTGGATTAGCCACATCATGCGCTGCACAGTTCACAAGGCTCTGAATCATCCTGATCAAAGGAAACTTCATACTTCTCTGAAAATCCCTAACTAATATTCTCTTGACCATTAACCTTGACCAAGCACAAACAGCTCATAAATCTCTTGTGCACCATAATTGATATTATTTACTCAACTCCCTTTACTGTCTTCTTCTCTCCCATGTCCAATAGATCACAATATGTCGGAGCAGAATTAGGCCATTTAGCCCATTGAGTCTGCTTCGCTATTCAATCATGGCTGATATGATTCTCAAACCCATTCTCCTGCTTTCTCCCCATAATCCTTGAACGCCTTATCAGTCAAGAACCTGTCTGTCTTAAATACACTCAATAACTTGATCTCCACAGCCCTCTGTGGGAATGAGTTCCACAGATTAAGCACCCTTTGGCTGAAGAAATTCCTCATCTCAGTTCTAAAGAGTTGTGACATCACTGAGACTATGCCCTCAGGTACTAGTCTAGGGCGGCACAGTGGCTCACACTGTTGCCTCACAGCGCCAGGGTCCCAGTTCGATTCTATCCTCTGGTGACTGTCTGTGTGGAGTTTGCACATTCTCCCCGTATCCGCATGGGTTTCCCCTGGGTGCTCCGGTTTCCTCCCACAGTCCAAAGATGTGCAGGCTCGGTGGATTAGCCATCGGAAATGCAGGGTTACAGGGATAGGGTAGGAGGGTGGGTCGGTGTACACTCGATGGGCCAAATGGCATGCTTCCACACTGTAGGGAATCTATGCTGGTCTCTCCCACTAGTGGAAACATCTTCTCCATGTTCACTGTAACATGACGTCTCAGTATTTTGTTAATGTCAAACAGATCTCCCACATCCTTCTAAACTCTCATTGAGCACAGACCCAGAATCCGCAACTGCTCCTCATATGACAAGTCGGGATCGTTTTTGTAAATCTCCCTGGACCTGCTCTAACACCAGTACATCCTTCCTTAGATATGGGGCCTAAAACTGTTCACAATATTCCAAATACAGTGAGACCAGAGCCTTGTACAGTATCAGCAGTACATCTCTTGTATTCTAGCCCTCTTGAAATAAATGCTAAATTACATTTGCCTTCTTAACTGCCAATTGAACTGGCATGTTAACCTTAAGATAATTCCGAACTAGGATGCCCAAATCCTTTTGTTCTTCAGATTCTTGCAGCCATTATCCACTTAGAAAATAGTTAACATCCTTCCAATAAAAACCCTGCAATCACATGTTTTTCTAATTGCCATTGTCTTGTCCAAACTTTACAACACTGATCTTGTACTTGCTGGACCAATTTTCACTAAATAACTGACCAACTAACTTTCTGTTCTCGCCAAGCTGCTTATTATTATTCTAAATGATTCCATTTCCATAGGTATTGACCCTCACGTTTTCAAAAATATTATTTCCTTAGTCTTCTCATCACCTTGAATTACTTAACCTTTTTGCAAACTCAATTTCCTCTTAAAGGCTTTAGTAGATGATCATTTCTAGAATCACTCGCATTCCTCCAATAAATACCTGTTTGAATTGCCAATCAGGAATTTTGCCCTCCGACAGCAGTGAAATGTCTCAGTTACTACAGTCTTATTTGGTTTCTTCAGTTACCATTCTAAATCCAAGCCAGAGTGAACACTGCTCTTCCTTTCTAGTGTGCTGGTAATCTAAGGATTTATTCCTGCCTTCCTTCTCTTCTGCATCTGTTTGGCATAATTTACATATATGCACATTTAGCTCTACCCTATTCCCTTATCATCTTTTACCTCTTCCATTGCTTTCAACTCTTAAGTTGTTTGTCCAGCATCCAGTATTCAAAGAGTTTTAAATACTTTAAAATAGATAGAATATCAAAGCCATTGTATTCAATCCCTGCTTCAAAATCTTCATCTTTCCTATCGTGAACTCTACTCCCTTGCTATCAATCCTAACTGTCTTTTTAACAACTGGTTCAGATCTGGAACCTTCAACATTCTCCTGATCCTGAGCTGACTTTTTCACCACATACTGCCTTCATCACAAAGAACATCTATAACATCACCTGCCCCTGTCACAACCTTAACCCTGGCGAAACCCTCATTCTGTAGCCTCATTGTCTTTAGGTTCAATTTCTCCAAAGCCCTCAGACCTCCACAAATTCCAACTTGTCCAAAGTTCTCATACTCTACCTTATACAGGGGTCAGGTTATTCATCCCCTTTATACTCATTGATCTGAATTGAATTCCACTCCAATATTTGAAATTTTAAATTATTATCCTATTCTTCTAATGCCTCATGTCTTTCCCCACCTCTATAACCTGTTCCAATTATAGGAGACTCAAAATAATTTATTGCCTTGGCTCAAGACTGTGCATTTCCTTTCCTCTTTTATCCTACAAGTGGCAGCGTGGCTTTAAGGCACATAGGTCCCATTCTCTGGATTTCTCTCCATAAACCTTCTGCTTATTTATTTCTGTGCCCTCTTAAAATTCAGACTCTTGTTTTCATTTTTGGCCATACTATAATCTCTCCTCTTTTCGCTAGGCACTTTTTCACGCTTTTGCAGAGCAGTCAGGAGATTTCCTATGACATAGGTGTATCACAAGTTTAAGTTCTTATTGTTGGCTCAATATTCTTCAATTTTTCACTAATAGCCAAATTTTATTACCTTAGGTTATTTCGGCTGTTATTTTTGAAATTCCTGGGAATTCCAAGATGATTTTGTAGTGGTAAAAATACCACAACATTTCATGAAGCATTACCACAATTAACTCTACTGTCTTAGATGAGAATCTTTGTCTTAATAAAGGAAAAAATGTATTAAAGTATACCTCCGAGTCCCAAGGAGATTCTATATGCTCTTCAGGTTCCACCTCTTCCAAGCCCAATTCAAATAGCAGGTCTACATTTTAAGGAATTTAAAAAATACACCAATGAATAAAATAACAAAAATGCACAGATGTTAACTGTCTCAATGCCGCCTACAATAATTTTTACATTCCATAAGCCAATACTCAAAATCAGTACTTTTTCCAAAACAGACATCAGTAATTGCATCAAGATTCAACAATAAGTGAAAAGCATATATATGGTGGTACAGTATTCTAATAACTCAGCCATGGACAGATAATTGAATGTAAATTATATTAACACAGGTATGGAACTGAAAATTCAGTAACGGTGACCATGAAACTATAACTGAATGCCATAAAAAAAACTGGCTCATTCATATCACTTAGGGAAGACAATCTACCCTCTACCTGTTCGGATATACATGCAACTCCAGGTCCACAGCAATGTGGTTGACTCTTACCTATGAAATGGTCTTGCAAGCTACTAAATTAAGGGCAATTAGAGCAGGACCAACATTTATGTCCTATGAAAGACTAGATTTAAAAAAAAAAATCACCTCCTGCAATTTTTCTACAGACTTGAATGCGATGGAAAGGAAAATTGGAAGTTCCCTGGCTGACAACATATTGTTTGGGTATTAATCTGTTTGCAGAATTTGACTGTACCATAGACTTGGAGGATTATGAATCTTTGTGATTCCCTCCTTCAGAGGATTGTGGACGTTAACTGATGTATGAAAGTTTTTAACCTCTCAGGTAACTCCAGGGAGACTGGAGTGGGACAGTGGAATTGAGGCAGAAGATTGGCCATGATTGTAATGATTGGCGGACATGGCTCAAGGTGTCATATGGTCTGCACTTGCTCCAATTTAAATTATGATGGGCGTTAACAATTTATGCAACCATCAATTTGTTAATCTGCTCAGATTAGGAGGCTGTACTACAATTTTGAAGACTCTTATAAAAAATATTCAAACATCCTTTGATGCATATCACCTATAAAGGCTTGAAATAAATTTTCCCAATGAGATAATTGGCAAGTCACATCAAATTTTCTTTTGATGAGCTATGTCACTATTTCTTGACGAATTTGCTGGAACATAAAACCTGGCTAAAGGAATAAAAATTGGCATAAACAAACTAATCAAAGTCTTAGGGAAAGAACCTAAGTGACTACATTTTCTTCAAAATGTCTCTCTTTCAGCATGATTTTCATCTGTAACGAACTGAACATAATTTATACAAATTATGCACTGCAGATTTAACAAAAACAAACTGTATAAGCGCTTAAATGTTATTTTTATTTTAAATGATTCTATACATCAATATGTAGTAAAAAAGGCACAACAAAGAAAGGCAATCTAATTGGGGAAAGAAGTACAAATAACTGACAAAAGTGACATAAAATACCAAAAATACAAACAGGTCCTAATTTAAAATTTAAGATATAAACTTAGATCTTGCCAAACCTGTGTGAATTCTTTGAATTTACACATGTTCTTACATGGTGCTTGGGGCCATATGAAGGAAGAGCAGAGGACTTTGCATCATCAACATTAAAGTTGAAGGAACATGGCTTAACAGAAAATATATCACTAGGGGGAGGTGGTGGCAGAGTGGTATTGTCGCTGAACTAGTAGTCCAGTAGATCCAGGCTAACGCTCTGGAAAAATGGCTTCAAAATCTCACTGGGAGGTGGTGAAATTTTAATCAATTAAAATCTAGAATTAAAATTCTAGTTTGGATTCCAGCCTCAGGTAACTGTGTGGAGTTTGCACGTTCACCCTGTATCTCCATGGGTTTCCTCTGGGTGCTCTAGTTTCCTGCCACAGTCTGGAGATGCACAAGTTAGGTGGTTTGGCCATGCTAAATTGCTCCATTGTGTCAAGGGAGGTGCAAACTGGGTATGTTAGCTATAGTAAATGTGGGGTTACAGGGATCTTGTGGAGGCTTGATCTGGGTGGGTGGCTCTTTGCAGGGTCAGTGCAGACTTGATGGGCCTCTTTCTGCACTGTAAAGTGTCTATGATTTCAATGAAAATGAATCCTTCTAAGACTAAGACAAAGACAAATGGAAACACTTAGCTGAACTGTCTTATCTCAGACCTACCAAAAAGAAAATTAGAAACATTAATTGCCTGTGCCTATTTGCTCTTAAGGTGATGGTTAGCCTTCTTTCTCAATGGCTAAAGCCCTATGTCAAAAGTATCCCACAGAGCTCTTCAGTAGCCAGTTCCAGAATTTCTGCCCAGTGACAGTGGTGGAATGGCAACACGAGGCCAAGCTGGTCAGCTGGGAGACTTATCCAGGCAATGTGGAGTCAATAGTGCTCCCAAACATCTGCTAAATGTCCCAGTTTCTAGGTGCTGGAGGTCACAAGTTTGGGAGATGCTGAAGTAGTCTTGAGAAGTTGAACTCCATGCTGTCTCTACCTCATACCGCAGTAACGGTACACAGTGATGATGGCAGTGGATTTTAAGGTGATGTACGAGCTGCAAATCAAATGAACTGTTTTGTCCTGAATAGCAACAAAAAGTTGTAGCCAGTTAAGAGAAAAACATTCATTCAATCATATTCCTGACTTATGCCCATGTGTATGAGCTTAGTGGGGTCAGATGATGAATCAGTTGTTGCTCTTTGAATGCTTTTGGCCAAGGGTGACCCCAGGATTGTGATGTGGAAGTTAGGTATATGTTTAATGGTAAATAATATTGCCTGGCACTTTTGTATGAATGTGACTTGTTACTTGTGGATTCAAACCTAATGTTGCCTAGGCCTTGATGCATTCAGGCATGGTCAGCCTCATTATCAGGAGAAATTGGAAATAAAATGGCATCATGCAATCATCCAGAACAGTAGGGGTAGATGGTAGGGACAAAATATGATGGAAAAAGTGGCCTGAATGCCTAACTCAACTGTACTCCCAATAGATAGCCTTCAGATTTGGTTTCAAGTAAATCATCCCAAACACTTCAGAATAAGATCATATAAACATTAGTCAATGACCAGTTAGACTTATTTAGAGGATGTTGGTGATGGAAACTTATTGGCCAGAATATAACAGTTGATCTTTAAACAGTGCCAGGGCATTATTTATATCCACTTGAACATGGACTTGGTTTAATGCACCATCCGAAAGGCAGATCTAACATTACAGCACTCAGTCAGACATGCAAACAAATGTCAACCGAGATAATTTACTAGTGTCCTAGAACCGGGCTTGAATATGTGCCTTTTTGACTCCGAGGCAAAGTACTTCTACAGATGCTTTTGCACATAATGACACACCCTGCTTACCGAGATGGTTGGAAAGACATAGCTCAAATGATGCTAGGAGACAAAATTGATTATATCTGGGGAAATGGTATGAATTCTGGGAGAGGTTGTAACACGAAATAGATGTTCTTGATGAAAGAACAAATACATAATTGATGAAGGGGAAGTTTTTGTGAATGAAACATTAGCCCAATGGTAAAATATCACAACCTGATACATTAACTCTGTTTCCCTCAACAGATGCTGCCAAACCTGTCGTGTATTTCCAGTGTTTATAACAGGGAGTTATGCATTCCTTGTCATTAAATATAGAGATAGAAATAGGAAAGGAACAAGGTTAGCCTTAAATGAGACACAATTTCAACCAAAGAAATTTGTTTCCTCATTAATGGCGATGGTCAGATCAATTTAAAAATAAGTTTAAAAAAAATTTATATATACCTTTTCTATGTTTTTGTTGGAAAGTGTCTTCTGCCCGAGTACTATACGTGGAAGCTCCATCAAGATTAGCAGGTTGATTTGCTGCAACTCTGGAGTTTGGTGAACACATTTCCACAGGCCATGTCTCCTCTTCTGAAGATCTGTCCTGTACAAGTTTAAAGATTTAATAATAGTATTTTTAATTCTATTGCATAGAAACCACATCTAATATTTCATAAACTGAAGTTACAGATTACAGCAAACAATAAACTTACTCATCACAATTTCAAACCTGTTACGTTAAAGAGGGTTCAGGAAATATACATTCAGATTCTGGAAAAAATACACTTGTTTACTTTGTAATTTGGTGACATCAAAAATTGTTATCAATTTTACCTTTCAACCCTGATCTATGCACTGCCTATTCACTCACCGTACTACACACTCATCTCCCTCAATCAATTCCTTTCTTTCATTCCAGGAGAAAAAAAAGCTCACAACAGGGCATAAAGAAATAAGACTGGTGTTAGGGTGCCTGACACTTGGTTCCTCACCCCCCCCCCAGGAGAGGAACCTGACCCTGACCAGCCCAAGCAGCCATCAGGCTATGCCTAAGCCTCGACTGATATCAGGGATTTCCTTGACTTACTGCACTTGTCCCCCTGACTGAAAGCCGTCTTTCAATGGTTTGACTGAGGACCTGTTGACAACGATGACTAGCAGACACAAAGCCAGAAAGCTTAATGGCAAGGCCAAGTAGAAGTACTATCAGCCTGGTACTTCTGTGTAGGGTAGGCAAAGCACAAAAAAGGCAAAACAGGACAAGGCAGAGATACTGCAAGCATCCAGGTAGGCTCATGGTGAGTGAACATTAAAAGAGCAAGCAAGCAAGCAGCCTCAAGACGTAGCCTCAGCCAATCATGAGCTGGGTATCTGCTCCACTGTACAAAGTATCCTTGCAGCACGCTTTCATTGTTAGTTGCTGGTGCGCTGAGAAGTGCAGCTTTTAAGTTCATAAGTGTCTTGCTAGTAGATCAGAATGATGCCACGAAAACTGTGATCGACAGACAGACACTGGATAACTGGTGTCCTTGGATGAAGCATGAGCAGTGCTGGTGTCCTGGAGTATGCCCCGAGATGTTGGTGCCAGGTTTTCAAGATGGAGTCCAAGCTATAGATTAGAGTCACCAGGTTACCCCTCTGACACTTATGTCAGGAATTCCCTGCATCTAGTTTCTTTACAGTAGATGATAGAATAGAAAGTTGCATATTAATGAAGCAAGATGTGCAGGTAATTAGGTCTATATCGAGCAACAATCCCTCTTAACAGACATCTCACACTGTTTAGTGAGAATCTTGTCTCTACATCCAACACTTAGTTGAAAAACTCATCCATGACAGAGAACAGCCTCACTGAACTTCACATGGGACTCTCCCAAATTTCATGTCATAGTCTACATTGCTCAGAATCCTAGAAGATTTTGCCCTTTAACTTCGATAACAACTGACCAAGCTGTAATGCCAGTTTTACACTCGGATAACAAGCAATGAATCCACTCCATTCTCTCTTTGGCCGCAGTGGTGGTTGTCATTTTCACATTATCATTTTAAATTTTTTTTTTTATTCTGGGCTTTTTTGTTTCAACCAATAAAGCGGGATTATTTCTATTCTAATCCTAAAATGAGTGACGTGAATGTTTCCTAAATGAAAAGCATTTCTTTTAGTGTTGCAAGTCACTACAGACCACAATAAAAGTGTCCCTGATTTTAAGAATATTTTATCAGTAGACATTAGAACAGGTCGTTTAATGCATAATTGTTAAGTAACAAATTTACATAAAGAAACAAAGAGAGACTGATGCTTGAACTGGAGAATAAAATAAAACTGAAGCAACTTTATTATTTGCCAAGGTACTAATTCAAGCATGTCTGTATAGAAGATTTAAAGCCTCTTGTATTTGCAACTTGGTAAGCCATGTTAATTAGTGTTGTTGCATCCTTTATATTTCAGCTCCATTACAAAGATTTAGATTAGTGGTGAGTTCTTGCTATTTCAATGCTGGGAGCCTGAGAACTTAATTCAATACACCACAGTTCTTGAATGATTCAGCTGGCAGCACTATTGTGACTTAATGAAATATTTGCTCATTAATATCTTCATCAAACCACAGTGATTGTGTTGATTTTCAGTTCCTTTATCAATGATGCTGCCACACAATGTACAATCCAGACTCACATCTCATCTAGTCCTCGTGCCTCGTCAAATTTAAGTACCAACAGTTCACCTAAGCCTTCTTGTCAATTTGGAACCCTTCAAGTGACAGAATTTCCTCCTATGTCAGGAAATAGGGTAACAACCTCCGCTTTTGAGAAGAAAAAGTATTCATTTAATACCTCAGCCATGCCCCTTGCTTCCACCTGTAAATTCCCTTTTTGGTCTCTAATTGGCCCTACTCCTTTCACCACTCTTCTGCTATTTATACATCTATACAAAACCTTGAGAGTCCCTTTTACTTAGTTGCTCGTCTTTTCTCACGCCCTTTGCTCCAATTCTTATTTGCTTTCTCACCTCCACCTCCAAAACCCTTTGGTTCTCAAGCTTGCACTGCTTTCTGCACCAAATTTTTCAGGTTTAATATTCCTGGTAACCTAATGTTCTTAAAACAAAATTTCTGATTTCTGCAGGGAAATTCTGCTATTCCCCTTTCCTGAATCCACATCTTTCTCAATGGTACTGCTAACTTGGAGACCACCATCACTTTCAGCGATGTTTTCACATTCTAATAAACAATTTTTAGTGTTTATTTTCCCATTATTTTCTCCATGCTGTTTTATTATGTTGTACCTTTCAGTTTCACATTATTGCATTCTTAATTTGAATTAAGATAAATCGGTGTTCTACTTAACTGACATTGCCAAATAAGCTGTAAACAATCTTTTGGATCATGGTCATCCTCCACCTGATTATTTTCTTCTTCAGCTAAAGCAGATTCTAGATCATGCTTCTTTCTTTGTATTATCCAAACTGCTGATTACATTTCAGTTCAGTTTTTGGCATTAATTGCCAACAATTTCTCCAAATAATCTTCACTGCACCACTTAAGAAATAGTTCAAATAATTACACGTAGAATATAATCTATATAAAAAATTACCTGCTTGTAGCCTCTAAAAAGGGTAGAATTTGATCGATTTTTTATAAATGAGCTGGATGAAAGCATAGCTGTTTGAGGAGAAGCAAGTAATGGTGTCTTTGACTGTGGTGAACGTTGTACAGGTGAGCAATTATCATTGTTAATTTCTTCTTCATCACAACTATCTTCTTCTGATTCTTCCTCACTATCTATATCTGATTCAACTGGATGCAAATTGTCTGTATTCCGGACTTTGGCAAAGTTAGACTTTTCTTCTAAAGGAAAACAGAGAAATCTTTTGTTTATACTTGCTGAAACAACAGGTATTAATATACATGAAACAAACCCATGTTCAAACTTAATTTTGATTATTTTCTCAGTAACTTACCATTATCTTTACTTTGCTGGGAAGTATTTAGCAACTTAGTCAAGCTAAGCTTCTGTGAAACCTGTAAAAATAGAAGGCATCAGGTAAATTGAAAAGAGTTAGAAATTTAAGGGTGCAAAACAGGTCTACATAGCATGCTCTGAAGAGAAGGTGCATTTTGGTTGCAATTGGTAAACAGTATCAGAGAAGGAAGGACACCGAATAACGAACAACAGGGCAGTGAATGGATTCCAAGGCTTTGTAGCACAGGAGCAGAGGCCTTGAGGCAGGATTGACATAGAAGAAAGGTCATTTATACACAAAGGACCTAGTGATCCTGAAAACACTTGAGACAACTGTGGGAACAAACAATTATCACAGTCAATGCCAGAAATGTAGTCAAGGACCTAGATACAGTACCTTTAGAAGGTCAAAGCTCATAAGGTCAGTGAATGCAGCTTCTAATGCTACACCTTATCACATAAGCAACTAGCCACACAAACTGCTCAATTCATAAAGCCTCCTTCATTTAGTACTCCCCAAATGCTCAACCTCTACCACCTAGAAGGACACGGGCAATAGATGGACAGGACCGTTACTACCTGCATGTTCCCCTCTAAGACACACAACACCCTAACTTAGAACTAGATCACCATTCTAGCTCAAAATCCTGGAACTGCCTCCCTAACAGCACTGTGGAGGTACATACACGCCAAGGACTGCAGTTCAAGACGGTAGCTAACCCTAACCATCACCACCTTCTCAAAGATAATTGGAGATGGGCAATAAATGCTAGCCTAGCTAGCAACATTCATCTCCTGCAAAGAATACGCGCACCTTCAACTCATCCTCATTTCAATTATGCATTGGAACTGACTGAAATTCTTGATCTGCTCGAGAAGGAGCTAGCTGTTTGGCGAGTGTCTGTTAAGTGGTCAAGATCTTTTCTATTCCTAATTCCTAAGAGTGAATAAATAAGTGAACTATACAGTTATATTATAAATTAAAATATATTAATGTGTCAAAGTTGTAGGATGTGGTAGTTCCTGGATACCATTGTGATGTTTTGAACTTCAACATTTGCTGCAGATGTTAACTGATTCTCTCTCCTCAGATACTGTCAAACCTACGGAGTTTCTCCAATATCAGATACTGCAGACAAATATAGATAGGTTGAGTGAATGAGCAAACAGCTGGCAGAGCAGTGTGGGACATTGATAGAATCAAATATTATAGAAGTAATAACAGGTTATCATAGTCAGCATATTTTATGAAGGGTAAATTCTGTTAACTAATTTGCTATAGTTCTTTGAAGATATAACAAGCAATGTGGATCATGGAGATTTGTAGACATGGTACACCTCTATTTTCAGAAGACATTTGATAAGATACTGCACAAAAGATTAATGTACAAGGTAATATCACATGGGAATTAGGGGCAATTTATCAACTTAGATAGAGGATTGCTTAACCAACAGAAAGCACAGAGGTGGGATAAATAGGTTTTTTTTCTGGTTGGCAGGAGGTAACCAGTGGGATGTCCCAGGGTTCAGCTCGAGTCCCAACTATTCACAATCTATATTAATGACCTGGATGTAGGGATAGAAAGTGCTATTGCCAAATTTGTAGATAACACAAAAATAGGCGGGAAAGTAAGTCGCATTGAAGAAATAAGAAAGATACAAATGGACAAGGACAGGTTAGATGAATGGTCCAACATTTGGCAGATGAAGTTTGACTTGGATAAGTGGGAGGTTATCCATTTTGGTCAGAGGAATAGAAAGACAACTTATTATTTAGTTAGACAGAAACTTCAGAGTGCTTTGATGCATAGGGATCTAGGCATTCTCATGCATTAATCAAAAAACTGTTATGCAGGCACAGCAAGTACTAAGGAAGGCAAATGGAACACAGTATAAAAGTAATGAAGTGTTGCTGCAACTATACAAGGCGTTAGAGAGAATGTACTTGGAGCAAGGTATACAATTTTGGACCCCTTGAGGAGGGATGCAGTTACACTGGAGGCAGTTCAGAGGTGGTTTACTGGATTGATTCCAGAGAACTAGTTGAGGTATATAAGATGCAAAAGGTGTGGACAAAGTAGATGCTCGCTTGTGTAGGCCAATCCAGCAAAGAGGTCATAGTTTTAGGATAAAGGGTAGCAAATTTAAAACAGAGATAAGGAAAAAATACTTCTCTCAAAAGGGTCGTGAATCTGTGGAATTCACTAGCCCAGAATGTGGTGGATGCTGGGACATTAAGTAAATTTAAGGAGCAGATAAACAGATTTTTAATTCATAATGGATTATGGGGAGCAGGCAAGAAAATGGAGTTAAGGTCAAGATAAGATCAGTTACATGATCATATTAAACAACAGAGCAGCTTAGAGGGGCTGAAATGCTACTCCTGCTCCTAGTTCGTCTGCTCTTATGCAACTTTATAGCATTATGTTCTAGTGATCTCAATTGTTACGGGATAATGTCCAGTTCATCTTAGTACTGGATAAGTCAGATCAGCGACAGGAACCTGGTTGAACAGATCATAATTTTAAAAATTTTTAATCACTGAAGTGATCTTTGACAAAAATATAACCAGCAATTTGTAGTTTATTAACAACTGAAATGAAGATAATCAAGAAAAAACACCCCATTCCCTTAGAATCCAGATTTAAAGATTCTTAAACACAGTACAAATAAATCAAACACGCTTTATAAAATGAACAGAAGGATCACCTTTTGGATCAGAATCGGTACACTATAATGCTGCTTACAAATGCTGCTGCACCAAGAACATCTAGTGCTGTATTTCTAACAAGACCCCATTCAGCTCATTTCCAAGGGGCAGCAAGACTCTCATTTTTTAATACTTTCAAGGGCTTCAAATAATTAAAAATTCAACTCACTACTAGAACTATAGAAAATTCTCTTAATTATTACGATTATGCTCCAGTGCCATACTATCCCCAAGGCAGCTTCAATTCCTTTTATGAGAGAAAAATATTTCTTTTCCACCAAATGTATCCCAACACTTCAGTCTGGGATTAATACTAAATGTCTCATTTTATGGTAATTTCATTACTTCAAACTCCTTTCCTTAAGAAGGCCACTTAGCACATGTTACTCTATTGAAAGACTTCTCAACTCTTCGCAGCTCGATACATGTTTCTCTCTTGAATGGCTTTCCAGCAAAGACTAAAAATGAAAATCTAATCCTGGAAAGTCCTTCCTTAAATCCTCTGAGTGACTTACTCTCACTTGAAATTATGGGTTTCATAGTTTTTAAAAAGCTAATTGTTAACTCCAAACACAGACTAACCCATATGTTTAACTTCGAATTTCAAACACCAAAGCTTGCAGTAAATGATATTAAAATCTCTGTCAGAGGAGTTGTTCACTTTGGCAACAGGGATGAAAATGCAGGATATTATTTAAATGGAGAATTCCAAAGGTGCAAAGGGATTTAGATGCTCTAGTCACAAAATAGTATGCAGGTATAGATCATAATCAAGCAGGCTAATACCGTGCTAACCTTTATTAGGAGAGAAATTGAACATAAAAGAATGTTATGTTTAGTGTTATACAGGACATTGGTGAGACTACAAGTGAAATGCATGGGATCCCATTTTACAAACATCCAATTTATGAAAAATCATACTTAAGAACACTATATCTTACAGATGCATAATTTTAAAGACCCAACATATGAACATTTCATGTATTTACGAAAGACTCTTTCATTTTGTCCTATGTAGTTCTCCAATTTGTATGCAAACCAACTTGAGAACACGTTCCAGAATGATGCCTGTTTGCATAACGGGGACTGCTTGTGCAGTGTTTAGTTCTAGACTCTTTATTTGACGAAGGACGCCAATGCATTGGAAGCAGTCCAGAGAAAGATCACTATATTGATATCTAAAATTGCCCTATAAAGGATAAGTTCGGCAGGATGGGCTTGTTGGAATTAAGAAGAGTGAGAGAGGTGATTTGATTGAAATGTACAAGAACTTGAATGGTTGTGGAAAGGATGTTTCCACTGTGGATAAGTTCAAAATTAGGAGGCACTGTTCTAAAATTAGGGACCAGCCTTTCAGGAGATGGAGAGATGATTTTCTTTTCCTCAGAGGGTTGAGATTTTGGATTGTTCTACTGCAGAAGGCAGTACAGGCAGAATCATTAAATATTTTCAAGTATAGGTAGATTGATTCCCTTGCCTAATCTAAGGGTATGAGGGATAGATGGAGATGTGGAATTCGAAAAACAAGCAGATCTTTCATGAACATATTGAATTGCAGTGTAGTCTGAAGGATCCAAATGCTTTACTTCTGCGCCTATTTCATATGTTTGCATGTTCACTCACTTAGCAATGTTGCAAGATTCACAAACACAGCTCAGAGCTGGTACACATTGCCACTTATGATATCACGACAGGTACAGCATCCAGATTGCCAACATTCATTAACATGCTTTTTCTCACGTACGGAATAAAAATGTTGCTCAACTTTAGTGAGCAGGAGCTAACCGAGGAGAAACATGTGCATCTTCATGTCCTAATCTCATGCACTGAAGAAAACACTAGCTGCTATTAGGACAGCTAGGTCTGTGGCTAGCTCTACAGTAAGACTATAGAGATATCAGTACTCTCATACAAACTTCCTTCTGATATCTTAATTAACACTCTCTTCTGATTTACAAGCTACAGATAGTCTAACTGTTATCCGAATTACTAGTGCTGTTGAGAGGGTTTTAAACTAACTTTCTAACTAACTCATTTTAAACTAACTTAGCAGAGGTATGGGAACTCCTGAGGTTCAACACAAAGACAAACTCGTTGATCTTTAAGGGACTCTATTCTCTCTCTCTAGTTGCTCTTTATGTACTTGTAGAATCTCATCTCATATCCCCTCTTTACTTTCCTGATTTCCCTCTTAAGAATGCCCCATACACTTTTTATACTCAAGTGATTCATTTGTTCCCTGTTGTCTACATATCTAATATCGGATTCTTTTTTATTCTTGACAAGAACCTCAACATCTTTACTCATCCATTGCTCTCTAATCTTACCAGCCTTACCTTTCATTCTAACAGGAACATAATGTTTCTGAACTCTTATTATCATATTTTTGAAAGCCTCCCACTTATCAGTCATCCCTTTACTTGCGAACGGTCTACTCCAATCAACTTTTGAAAATTCTTGTCTCATAAAAATTTGCCTCACTCCAATTAAGAACTTTAACTTTTATGGAAGGCTTATGCTTTTCCATAACCGTTTTAAAGAATTATGACCACTAATCCCAAAGTGTTCTCTCTACTAATTCTTCAATCACTTGCCCTGCCTTATTTCCCAAGAGAAGATCAAGTTTTGTTCCTTCTCAAGTAGCAACATTTACATATTGATAAAGAAAATTTTCTTGAACACATTTTAACAAATTCCCCATCATCCAAACCTTTAACATAATGGCAGTCCTAGTCAATGTTTGGAAAATTAAAATCCCCTACTGTTACAACCCTATTAATTTTGCATATGTCTGCGGTCTCTCCACACATTTGCTTCTCAATTTCTTTGACTATAGGGGACCTATAGTACAATCCTATCAAGGTGATCATCCCTCTCTCATTTCTAATTTCAACCCATATATTTTCACTGGACGATCCCTCAAATATCCTCTGAAATCATTTCAGTACAGTCGAGATATATTCAAAAATGAAAAATGCAGGATGAACTGAGCTTCCTGAATGAGACAGGAGATAGAAATTAAGATAAATACCAAAAGTGTGCTTATGAAGGTGTCATGTAGAAAACACAATTGAGTCTAAAGAGGAATTATGAGGAACGACTGGTATCCAACACAGAGAGGAATCTTAAACTCTTCTGTAGCAGTATTTCACAATAAGTGGTGTTGGGCTATGAAGGTTACCTATGTTATGAAGTCGTGTAGCGTAATAGTGAATTGGAAGACAGGAAGCTAGAATTTGTTTGTTAAGAAATGATAAAGGGAAAAGTGTGCGCGGTTCCTTTAAGGGATAGAGTGCTTTTCTAAGCTTAGAGATTTATACATTTAAAAATGTGTATGTAGCTGAAGATGTGCAACCAGTTCTAAAATGGAAACATATATCAATTGGCTATGAGACTGGAAACCTTAGGCGTGTTTTGATGTTTTGGTAGTGAGCTAGAATCAGCCAATTAATTTAAACAAAGCACTTAGTAACTGAAAGCCAACTGAATTTAAATCTGATAGTTTTGACAACCTCAGATCAATGTTATAAGAAAATTGATATGTCATCCAAGGTATGTAAGGAAAGGGTTTTTGGAAAAAAAAATTCGGTGAGAGTGAACTGCCATCTGAGAAATAAGCACCTAGCTCTCAAGAAATCACTAAGCTCTCTAAGAAAGCACCATCTTATCCATAAAAGGTAACAAGGCACTTCTAGCTGACAGTCTTCACAGAGAAAATATCCCTGACAGCAGGTTCAGCAGAAGAAAGGTGTTTATGACTTGAGAACAGCAGAAGACAGACATTTATGACTGGAGAGACAGTGGAGAAGGCAGAGCATTCTGGAAGACACATTCTGTGTGGACTTTGAGAGACTAAGTTCTTTTTTTTCTTATCACTTGGGTTATGTAAGTGGCGCTTGTGTTTATTGGAATAGCATACCAGCAGAATTTTGTTCAGTTACAGAATAGACAGGATTTAGGGGGAATTGATCAGTCTGTTAGTTGTTCTGTTAATTTGCTCACTGTTAGGATTAAATAAATAAATTGTTACTTGTTACTTATAAAGTGAATATCAGGGATTTTTTTTCATTTAAGCACCCCTTCTCCATAACATCTAGTTCAGATGCAGAGTTTCAAAACTAAATATTAAGAATTTTTAAAAAAAAAGCATTGAGGTAAGGATTATGATACTAACTGTTGTTACATACATATGTGCTACTCAGTTGCCAGTAAGGAAGATGTTTAAGACAGAGGGATTCCAGAGATAACTAAAGGCCTGTAAGCTAGAGCTTCCACAAGAAAAAGTGTGATGTTTTAATGATGCTATAGATGCCATGGAACTGCCACACATAGCTTTTCCAGGCAAGACGTTGCACTTTTTTTTTGCTTTTTCAATGTAATGCCTTAGTTTTGTGAATATGCCTTATTTGCTCACATCAGCTAGAGTGAAAGCTGAATGTATTAAAGAGATATTAATGCATTTCTTGTAAGCTTCTCCCATACACATACCAACACAAAGCAATTATACCTTTTTCAAAGCTGATTGTAAGTTGCACACTCTATGATCCATGTGAACTGCCTGCATGCAACAATTGGCCTCTGAGCTGTCTGTTGTGTTGTCTGATTGCATAAAACTGGTCAATATTATTAAAGCAAATGCACTGTACAGTTGAAACTTCAAGGTACATTGTGCAGAGATGGGTGCTAAACACACAAACCTTTTGCTGCATAGCTGAAGTGGGACGGTTGTTGTGTGGCAAGATGTTATTCTGAATCTTTGAAATAAGAGAGGAAACTCAGTGTTTCTTGATTGGAAAGAAATCTAAGCCAACAGAGTTGTTCGATAATACAGACTGGATTTCAAAATTGGGATACATGGCAGTCATATTTGGGCTTCGAAATGAACTGAATTTGTAGATGCAAGGTCCATTGATTTCATCCTTGTGTCTTGCAGCCAAAATAGAAGCTTTCAAAAATAAATTGGATGCTTGGAATAAAAAGGATGGATGCAGACATACAAGACAACATGGAATGTGACATCCATTGTATTGCTAAACTCATTTCAGAACATTCAGATAAGCTCCAGCGCAAATTTAATGAATATTTTCTATCTGAAGACAATCCGCGGATCAGATTTTTGTGGACAACAGATTAATTCATTCACACTGGCAGTGAAACAAATAAGCTGTCACTTTCATTTTCTGAGGAGGATCATCTCATTGAATTAGCAAGCCACCCAACATTGAAAGAACTATTCAACCAAAAAAAACTGCCTGCCTTGAAGTGATAACAGAACAATGAATTACTTACTGAAAAGCTACAAAGAAACTAATACCCCTTTCTTACGCATATCTTGGTAAACAAACCTTTTCTGCATTGGCACTATTCAAAGGAAGGAAAGATACTATTTGGTATAGTTTCTCCACTTTGCCAACCTTTGATCTCTGCAATTTCATCACTTACATTTATTTTTTCGGTCTCTTATTTTTGCAAAATTTAAATTTTTGGATAGGTGCAGCATCCATTCGGTCTGCTTTACGTTTTAGCTACCTTTACATACCTTTAATAAATATGGACAACCTTTGCACGATCAGCAGTAATGCAGTGCATTCCAAAAAAGGTATTTCATTGTCTTATAATTATTGTTATGTGCTAGCTAAGAGCCATTAAAATCCAAGGAAGAGATACCATAATGCAACATTTACTACAATCCTACTTAAAAACCACACCATTGACAAAATGGTACCTTAGAATTAAATTGGAGTTCCTCATCTTCATTTGAAGATAGCCAGGAGTCACCTGCACCTTTTGAGGCCCTAAAATTAAGATGTAAAAATAATTCCAAAATGAAAATACACCAGGGTTTTAAAAAATGTTAAAAATGCAACAGAAGATGAATATACCTCAAGTGTTTCTGAAACGCAAGACCAGCTGCAAAACTTTTCATCTCGCATTCATCAGGACAAATGCTAAAATGTCAAATTTCAAATGATCACTGTTCATTTTACAGAAGAGGTCCCTGCACATGAATGTATGTCACTTCTCGCAAGTGTAAGTGAGCCGTGTTATGAGCATAATTAGCTTAAATTGGTTGCTACTTTTACTGTTACAACACTGAATTGTTCATCAAATGTTGCCGAATCACAGAATCACATTGATCAGTAAACTGTTTCTTTTAGATTTTGCAAGCACTAGTTGGTTATGTACATAATGTGTAGCCTACCTCATTCATACAGTTGGAGGAACAAGTTGAGAGATTTAATTAGCTAACCACTGGGACATATGGCTAATGTGCAATTTCAGGTTTAGGAAACTATTGCTGAATCATTTAACAATTACACCACCAACCAATTTAAGGCAATCAGTTGAGCTTGTAATTAGGATAATTTACACATGCTAGAAACAATGAACATCCAAATGCAGGAACTACGTTTCTGAAAACAAAAATAATATTTTCATGTCTTGAACTTTTTAAAAAGATTATCCGAAGCATGCAAATCCTAGAGCTCTCTTCCTTTGTCCATGGCAATGTCTTAGTCAATCGAGTTTATTTGCTAACTAAGCAGCACTCTTTTCACCTAAAATACAAATTGCGATCATTTGAAACTTGGTATTTTTGCATTTATCTAGTTGTTTTTATTCACTCATGGCATGTGGCCTTTGCTGGCTAGCCAGCCTTTAATGCCCATCCCTAGTTGACCTCAAGGTGTTGGTGGCGAGCTGTCTTCTTGAACCACTCCAGTCATGTGCTGCAGGCAGGCTCAATGCCATTAGGGTGGGAATTCCAGGATTTTGACCCAGCAATTGTGAAGGAACGGCAGTATATTTCCAGGCCAGGATGGCGACTGCTTTGGTGACAAACTTACATGTGGTGGTGTTGCCATGTATCTGCTGCCCTCTAGGTGGAAATGGTCACAGATCTGGAAGGTGTTATCTAAGGATCTCTGGTGAATTTCTGCACTGCATCTTATAGATAGTACACATTGCTGCTACTGAGCATCAGTGGAGAGTGATATTTGTAGATGTCATGTCAATGCTTCATCCTGGATGATGTCAAGCTTCTCGAGTGTTGTTGCAGCTGCACCCATCCAGGCAAGTGGGGAGTATTCTATCACAGTCCTGACATGTGCCTTGTAGAGTGAACAGGCTTTGGGGAGTCAGGAAGTGGATTACTTGTTACAGTCTTCCTAGCCTCTGACCTTCACTTGTGGCCACTGTATTTTGTATGTCAAATTCAGTTGATTTTCTGGTCAATGGTAACTCCAGGATGTTGATAGTGGGGAATTTAGGGATGGTAACACCATTGAATGTCAAGAGGTGGTGGTGAGCTTGTTTCCTATTGGAGATGGTCAATGCCTGGCATTTGTGTGATATATGTGAATGTTACTTGCCACTTGTCAGCCCAAGCCTGGGCATTGTCCAGAACTTTTTGCATTTGAACACGGACTGCTTCATTATCTGAGGAGTCACAAATGGTGCTGAACATCAGTGAACATCCCCAGTTCTGAATTAATGATGGAGGGAAGATTGTTGATGAAGCCACTGAAGATGGTTGGGCCTTGGACACTTCCCTATATAGAGATGCCCTGGAGTCGAGATGACTGACCTGCCACAACCATCCTTCTATGCGCCAGGTATCCAGATAAGTGCAAGATGAAAGGCTTTGATACCATATATCTCTACAGCAATATTCAAGCTTTATACTACCAACTGACTTCTTACCTACTGACTGATTCTGTCTGAGATGCATCATCTGCTACTGCAAAACAAAGTGAATAACTTACACATGGTTACAAATATATAATTTCATCTCTCATAAGTTTTCGTACAACTTTTAATTTGAGATTTGACATTTTTAAATTAATTGAAAACACCCAATTTCAGAAGCTGCTAATCAAAAAGGTGGCATATGTTTATTCTTTAGGTTATAGTGGGCATACTGAAAACATACCTTTGAGCTTCTTGATGGAGCTAAATGTCAACAGCTGTTTCAAGAAGGGGTTTAAATTACTCATATCGTTCCTAAATCAAAGGGAAATTTGGGAATTAGAAATAATTAGTTTAAGTCTCAGTATGGGTAATCAAAGGCATGTCATTGCTTTGGAGATAGTCTGCTTTTTTTTTGACTTTGGGTGCGAGAGAGATTTCTTAGAAAATGAAACTGGAGCAGTCTGTCACAGCAAATCCACCAGCAGCTTAAAAGCAACTGGAACCAGTGGCAGGGCGCTCTCAGGGATTGTGGGATGTTTCAGATCTGAAGTCACTCTGAAAGAATGAAATGAGATCCATATTTCAGGTGAAGAGTCCTTAATCCTGAAATATGAAGGAGAATTGGCATGTTCAGCTTGCTGAATGGCAGTTGAAGAACCTCAAGAAGTTGTAAACTTCAGAACAGCAGGAAACAATCTGGAGAACCAAATGAATTCCTTGAAGCTGAGTCATATCTTGATTTTGGTCCCAGGAAAAATGAAGCAATCCTCAAGATTTGTAAAGTATAGAGGAACGCTTGGGTGGAAATATAAGTATCTAAGTAAAAGTGCTACTGCAATTTTGGGATTTAATGCTTACATGTTTACAAAATAGTGCATTAGTTTGTAGTACTTGCTTTAACAGATGTATAGTAAAGATTTAAACATAAAATTGTGCTTTTTTAAAGGTTAATAATTTAATTTCTTTCTAAATTAAACTAATCTGTCACCATCACAAAATAAGGAATTTGACGTGTTAAAAATTTAGGCTTGGTTTTCTTTTATTGTTGAGTTTTTCTTCCCCAAACAGCAATCTAAGGGAATTTTTCCCTGTAGAACAATAGCATTTAAAAGCTTTACTCTACTCAGGTTTGTTCACATTGGAACGCTTCTATATCCCAACACAAAATAACTTGCACATTGTACAAACTCCAATTATTAGACACTCTAGAACAAATTGTGCTGCACACCAGACTTCAAAAAAGGTAGGTATATATTCAATTGCTCACACACTTCAATATGTACCTGCAAATATAAGTTAGTTATTCAAAGTGGAAAACATCTTCGGATTACTGATGTTATTGATGTATTGCACAGCGCAGGTCACATCATTATCAGGACTCTCCCACTTCTAAAATATACACCTTAGTTCTTAGTCAAGGGAAGCAGCAGACAGCATGCAACATCAAACACAACAAATGCATTAGAACAGTTCTGTAGCCAGTGATAAAGAGAACCAAGAGAAAGGACAACAGAGCCTTATGCATAGAGGAAAAACTACATTCAAAAATTGAGACCAATGCATTGGAGTTGAAACTGTAGGTAACTTAACATTAATTCTCATTTTTTCAACATTCAGTAACAAGTGGGTCTTTATGAAAGTAAACAGAAGGCCAAGGCAGATCTTCTTACATGGATGTAATAAACGGCCTCCAGCACCCATAATGAAGTACTTGATCGGTGTTTTTCAAACACTCATTATTCAAGAGATGATTTTCGGTAACAGATCAGTCACCCATAAACCCCTCTTAATTTTCTTTTCCATTGAAATCCAGATTTTGATATGTTAGAATTTTCTACCTGATATAAAATCTTACTCCATCTTGTGGTAAAGACTGTGCCTTTCTAGTTTCCTGCAGTTTTGATTGCGGACACATACGGAAAAAAAAAAACTTGAAAGCCAAGAATTGTTGAAGGATTACAATTCGTTTTAAAAGTCACTTAATACTCATTGCAAGTGCTGTTGGAACAAGCAGTGGGGAAAACTTAGTTACATACAAATTAAAGCTGGGGGCTGTATACGAAAGGAGATTCAGCCAGGAATGATTTGCTGATTGTTTCATGAAACAGTGACCGATTGAATCACAGAATCCCTACAGCGTGGAAACCGGCCCTTTGGCCCAACAAGTCCACACCGACCCTCAGAGCATCCCACCAAGACCCATCCCCAAACACTACGGGCAATTTAGCACAGCCAATCCACCTATCCTGCACATCTTTGGACTGTGGGAGGAAACTGGAGCACGTGGAGGAAACCCAAGCAGACACAGGGAGAATGTGCAAACTCCACACAGACAGTCGCCCAAGGGTAGAATCGAACCCAGGTCCCTGGTGCTGTGAGGTAGCAGTGCTAACCACCATGCCACCTGTTGGTGACAAAGGTCTCCTGCCTGCAAAGAATAGTTGTTGCAGAGATACCTATGGGTTTCAGACACATAGTTCTTTTGAAAGTTGTGTCATAGGTAAACAGGGTGGTTAAGAAGATGTTTAGCATGCTTGCCTTCACTGCTCAGACCACTGAATTTTCGAGTTGGGACATCACATTGAGGTTGTACAAGACTATGCTAAGGCCACTTTTGGAGTATTGTGTACAGTTCTGGTCACCCTGCTATAGGAAAGATATTATTAAATTAGACAGAGTTCAGAAAAGATTTACAAGGATGTTACCAACTGGAGGGTTTGAGTTATAAGGAGGCTGGATGGCTGGGACTATTTTTCACTGAGCGTAGGAGGTTGAAGAGTGATCTTACAGAGGTTTATAAAATCATGAGGGGCATAAATAAGGTGGTGATTAGCAAACGTCTTTCTGTAGGGTCGGGGAGTTCAAAACTAGGGGGCATATTTTTAAGGTGAAAGGAGAAAGATTTAAAAAGGTCCTGAACTTTTTCCACACAAAGGGTTTCATTTGTGGAATGAACTGCTAGAGGAAGCGATAGGTGCAGGTACAGTTACAACATTTAAAAGACATTTGAGCAGGGACATGGATAAGAAAGGTTGCGAGGGATATGGGCAAAACATAGGCAAGTGGGACTAGTTAGTTTGGGAAACTTGGTCGGTGCGACTAATTAGACCAAGGGTCCGCTTCTGTGCTGTATGACTCTATAACAGAGATTGGGTACCTTGGCTGAACCGTGCAAATGGACGTGGGAATGCTCGGATCAGAAGCCACTGCATCTCTGAAAAGGTAGGATGACATTTTTGAAAAAAACAGTAGAAAATATCAAGCCTGATGATAGTTAGTTTATTTTCCCCTATAATTTCTGTAAGCCTTGGATTTTCATCAACAAGTCAGAGGTACATGTGTGAACCTG